CAATGCGGTTTCTGTACTATGATGGACTCTAAATCCTGACTGAAAATCCTCAAACAAATCATTCTTGTGCAAGTGGTCACATAACTGCTCTGCAACAGCTTTTTCAAGGAATTTGGAAATAAATGGGAGATTGGATATTGGTCTATAATTAGCTGTGTTGACACCTGGGTCAAGAGTAGGCTTTTTGAGTAGAAGCTTAATTACTGCACCCTTAAAAGCCTGTTGAACATAGCCTGTTAATAGAGAGAGGTTAATCAGATCTAGTATGTGTGATGCCCACCAATGTGTGCCCACATTTGTATGAATGTGTATTTTACTCCGATATAAAACATGTAACAGTTGTTCTGCCCTCTCTTGAAGAGATGTTTGGTACCGTTGAAATGCCAATATACAGTATTGTATCCGTAGTCGCACCATTTTGGACAGTAGGTGGTGTGACGGGTGGCAGTGTGGGTTTGTTGTTTACTCCAGGGACTGTAGACGGGAGCGCACGCACCGCTATTTCCTCATAATGGTCGGAGAACACCGAAAAGAGGAAACATGTCTCCCTGTCTCATCATTTCTTTCCTGTATTACAGGTTAGTGTTGAGCAAGTAAACCCCACAAAACTGCTAGAATCAATAAGCAAATGTTGAGTTATGATTCAAGGGTGAGTGGTAGAGTGAAGCTAGGGGAAAATGGTTCTGTGTATTCGGGGAAAGAAAGCTAATGGCCACTGAAAGCAATAGTAATGGCGGTGGTACACGGTACCCGTAACGTTTGTGTGGAACATTCGTCATTAACATGAACAATTTGAAATCTTTCTGATAAATAAGATTTGAACCAACTTAGCGCAGTTCCTTTAATCCCAATAACATGTTCAAGTCTCTGTAGTAAGATGCTGTGATCAATGGTGTCAAAAGCAGCACTGAGATCTAAGAGGACAAGTATGGAGACAAGTCCTTTGTCCGAGGCTAGGAGAAGATCATTGGTGACTTTCACCAATGCGGTTTCTGTACTATGATGGACTCTAAATCCTGACTGAAAATCCTCAAACAAATCATTCTTGTGCAAGTGGTCACATAACTGCTTTGCAACAGCTTTTTGAAGGATTTTGGAAATAAATGGGAGATTGGATATTGGTCTATAATTAGCTAGGACACCTGGGTCAAGAGTAGGCTTTTTGAGTAGAGGTTTAATTACTGCAACTTTAAAAGCCTGTGGAACATAACCTGTTAATAGAGAGAGGTTAATCAGATCTAGTATGGATGTGTTGATTAGGGGCAAGCCGTCTTTGAGCAGCCTGGTCGGGATGGGGTCCAGGAGCCATGTTGATGATTTAGATGAAGCAATTGTTGAGGTCAACTCAGAGAGATCTATAGGGGAGAAGTAGTCCAAGTATAAATGAGGTCTTACAGATGTTTCTAAAGCCATTGTAGTAGATGGCACATCTGCGAGAGCTGTGGGAGTGGTCCGACCAATTTTTTCTCTAATAGTTGTGATTTTATTTGTAAAGAAGCTCATGAAGTCATTGCTGCTGAGATCTAAGGGAATGTTAAGCTCAACAGCACTGTGGCTCTTTGTCAGCCTGGCTACAGTGCTGAAAAGAAACCTGGGGTTGTTCTTATTTTCCTCAATCAGTGATGAATAAAATGCGGTTCTGGCACTATGAAGGGCTTTCTTATTTGTTATTAAACTATCTTTCCAGGCTATGAAAAACTCTTCTGACTTAGTGGAGCGCCACCTCCTTTCCATTTTTTGTGATGCCTGCTTTAGGGAGCGGAGCTGCGAGCTGTACCATGGGGCTAGCCTCCTCTGTTTCACTGCCTTCTTTTTCAGAGGGGCAACGGTATCAAGTGTATTATGCAGGGAGGCTGCAGTACTATCAA